ATATATATATATATATATAATACAGATGATTTTAGGCTCTCCGTAAATCGAACGTAATTTTCTCTGCCTACGCGTAGCAACAGTCCTTTTGGAAATCCTTTTCTAGCTTTATGTCTACGTTAAATACTTAAATATTCCGTCGGGACAATCAAAATAATCGCAATTTTGCTCAAGGCGTTAAATCATGATATCGCGGGGGCGTGCGCCGTGTAGGGATTGCAATAATGATTAAATAACAAGAATCGCGGAGTGTGTCTGCAATAGCGAAGGAGGCAGAAATGGGTGACGATCTCAAGCTTTTCAAGGAGATCTCGGTCTACGTTAGATTTGCGTTGAATCGCTGTCAATTGTCTTATTTCCCGCCACTTTAATTTTCCATTAAACTATTTGACCTTCAAAGATCATACTCTGATGATGCGACATTGATTTTAGCTAATGCGCATGCGCGTATGTTGTATTATTATTAAATTTGTATACTAATTAAATAAATAATAACTGAAGGTTATTTCCAATGGCGACATCGAAGCTAATTAATTACTATTAGCAAAATTCTTCTTTATATTTTAATGTAAAACATAACAAATAACACTTTCCTAAGAAAAATTATTCTCAGTGACATCAGCTAATTTATTTTACTAATAGCTAGGTATACATTGTATTATTAGCAAAACTCTTATGTCAAGTAAATGATTATTATCAGGTAATAGGAAAATCAGCAATTAATTAACATTATTGTTACTCTCGAAGATTTCGCGAACAAAATTCAGTTTTTCTCTTTGATTTATTATTAGGAAAAAGGCGTGTTTTGCAAATGGAGCGACGTAAAGGTCAGTCCTCAATGGATTCTATCGGATGCGGAACGTTGCGAACCTTATATGGTCTGGTCTTACTGCTGGAGGATTATAGCTCCGCATACTTAATCGAGATACCTTCGGTTTTTTGTTTTGAATATCTTTTGCATTTCGATTTTCAATTGTCACGTATCAGGCAATAATTATCTTACGATGATCTACCTTGCCACGGGCGTTCGTAAAATTAATAAGATACAGTATTCTGCAATTATGGTCGACCAGCCATCAAACATAGTGCCCTTGCTATCGCTTTCACTTTAGCACTTTAAATACATATAGTCGCAAATACGGTCCACGAGAGAGAAGGGTAGGAGGAAATGGGGGGAGGAGAGAGAGAGAAGGAGAGAGAGAGAGAGAGAGAGAGAGAGAGAGAGAGAGAGAGAGAGAGAGAGAGAAATGCACGTTGTTCCAAGTGTGTATACTTGAATGGTTGGTGACTTGTTAGACCACTTTCATTGCATGAACAAGCGCCGATGTTAATACTGACGTCACCGTTCGCCGCAGGCACTTTTATCATGAAAAGAGGATGTTAAAAAGTCCGATTTTTATCTTCCCTGGATCTTTAATAAACTACAAAACGTTATTGTACGGGATCCATATGAAATAGTAAAAATGGTTATATCCAAAAATTCGGGGAAAGTAGATTTTTTTAGATGTTATATCGTGTTTCCTTTTGTAAATTGAATTTTCGTGTACGAAACGTTAGAATGGTACTATACTTATCATGAATAGGATGTAATATGCAAACATTTCTCATGATAATTATAAAGGTACATAAAGGTTAAGTTACATCCTCGCCTTTATTTCTGGATTTGAATAGTGATGTATGATTTTCCTCAGGTGAAGCAAAGAATTAAATTCAAGGTTCTTTCAAATTACGCAGAATATGTGATGCATTATTTGTTCTTGTCGTCCACCAAATAATAAAGAAGGATAAAATGATGCAGCATGCACCTCATGCGTAACTCGGAACGCATTCTTACACTAGCTTTTAAGTCTGCTATTTTTTCGATATTTTGGAATGAAATCTCACTCTATAAAAGATTGAGAATTGAATCAGTCTTGAAAATAAGAGTGAATATATTTTCGCTCTTAAAAAAGAGTGGTACGAATGAGATTTCATTCTTTTGAAACAAGATTTCACTCTTTTGGAGTGAAAGTCATGCTTTGGAATTCTCATTCTAAAAAGGAATTTCATTCCTTTGGAGTGAATCTCATTCTAAAAGAGTGAAAATTTACTACTTTTCTTGTTTTCAAAAGTGAAAAATTTTTACTTTTTTTTCAAGATTGGCTCAATTTTCACTCTAAAGAGATTCAGAGAGAATAATAACTTTAGAAATCCTATGAAAATTCGTCTCATAGATTTTATTTTTAAAAATTTCCAGAAATATCTTTCTTTATTAGATTTTTAATGATAAAAAACCTCTTACAAGACTGGCTTGAGTGAACTTTCTGAAGCTTATAAATATGAGTTCTTACTTAAAAACGTTAGATATTTGAAATTCTTGCGCCACGCGTGTTACAGTATTACAATACCATGTGCATTGCGCTATTCTATAATTACATTCGTGCGATACGCTCACCGCCAACGGCTAACACAAAGTGATAGCGCAGCTAAGTCAACGCTAACAATCCTATCTTACTAAGCAAGAGAATCTAAAACATCACCTTTCCCTTATTTTCAGATCACAATAATGAGGCACAGCGATAGCAGCACACACGCAGCCCAGATATTTCAACAACCACTGACGTGTGAGTATACATAAACTACAAGACTTACTTTCTAATTGTCTCAGCGACAGGTGACAATTAATTAAGGCTAATCAATTAGTCGTTGATCTTGTGTATGCGGAATCGGAAGAAATTCGCGTGATATCTCCTGCGTATCTATTTCATCTTTTTTTTTTTTCTTTCTGGTTCGCTTGATTTCAAACACATCACGAAATTTCTCTCGTGAAAAAATCGCACACTTGCAGTTCCTCATAAAACCAAATTGCCGGATAATCAGATAAAAGTGGATGCTTTCCACGATGTACACTTTCTAATACACGACGGCACAATACGCCTGATGACAATGATTCGAGGTGAGATGCTTGTGGTAACGAAGTATAACGGTTTGGAAGTAAACGATTATAGAAAGTAATCAACTTCTCGCACGTATACTTTCTTGATTTAACGCCTGATAAAGAGACTTATTATAAGTTAAGTTACAGTTACAGATGGGAGAAGAAAAACGAAATTAAATTACAATTACTGGAAAAAAGTAACTTTAACTATATTTTATTACAAGCAACGTCTTACTTCTCAATCCTGATAAATATATAGCGTGTGCAGCAAGCATAAAAATGACTTTCACATGAACTTTGATGAAATATTCGGAGGTATAACCTGAATAACGGATCGTACATTGTGTGATGTATACTGATGGACTATGATGGTTACAGCCTTGTCAGATATAACCTTGCGCGTCTCGACGTATTGTGTAACTTTTTTGCGTAACGGAATTCGTCGCGTGAATCGCTTATTGTTATTCATAGCTCTTTCTTGCAATTATCTCATTAAAATTTTTTTTTCTTTTAGAATGCTAGTAAAATTTCTATTAAAAATTGAAACACATCAGATGGATAACGCGCAATGTTTCTAGATATGTTAAACTCTTACGATCGTCCGACATCCGTAATACAAAATGTCCTTGAAGATCGAAGACCTTGTATTAGGTACTTATAGCATCTCATCTTCTATATGAGACTGACGTTATGAGCAACAGAGGAAAGTAGCAACACCTAAATAAGTGTGCTTTCCAGCAGGGCCGTTTCAAGCCAGGGTGCAACGGGTGCATTGTACCCTGAAGGCCGCCCGATTTAACATGTCTGCATCGTTTTATTTATTTATTTTTTTTATGTATATATAAGAATATATGAAATTGTCAACATATATATTTGATTCCTATATTCAAACATCTTAGGTTAATATTCAAAATTTTTGAATAGTTCGTGTTAGAATTCTAGCGAAAAAAAAAATTCAAATTTGGATCGAATCGAATCTTATTTGATTCGTATTCAAATAATTCGTACATCTCTAATTCTTAGCACCGTAAGGATGTCTATTTACGCACATGTTCATGCTCGTTACTACGCTCCATGCATTCTTTTTGTAAAGTTTGTAGATATTTATACATATATTAACTTATTCAATGTGCATCTCTTCTTTGAACATTACTTGGAAGAGTTTAACAGAAGCGCGAGCATATAATAACCTCGAGCATATAATACACACGCAATGCAAATAGCGTGTTAAGAGGATTCATATTTTTGCAAAGAAGGTATCTCGCTTTTATATCTGCCACGATAAACGATGATAAAATAAACGCGTTATATAACGTTTCACGTAAGAGAGGCTCAGCAGGAACTTCCGGTCGCTATAGCGGGACTACGATGCGGACGCGAAACGCGTGCAAGACATTATGACAGTTATAAGAGCTGGCAGACCAACAGAAATGGCGTTTCACCAGTTTTAACGGAATTTACTGACCGATCGTTAAAGCCGGTCACCCTTGCATAATTCGTTCCGCCTAATTCCGAGCCGTTATTGAAAATTACCGCTATTCACAATTACTAAATATAGAGCTACTGCTCATGATATACTTATATGAACGACTTAATTCCGTTCCACTATGGACGAGTTTGTTGAAATTTTAATAAAAGACGGATCATTAATAGAAAGATACGGGATAGCAGTAATTAAATTATATTTAAAGTTAGATGCATTCAAAGAAAAACATAGCAACTATAAAAGTAATAATAATAAATTTTATTGTAGAATTAATACGTAATTGAATATTTTATACTTGCAATAACTATAAAATAGTCTATTTTATTACACACATTAATTTTACATAACAAAACTCGTGTAGTTGTCACTTTTATAATTATCGCCACTATGTTTTCTCTAATTTTGAATATAAATTAATCCTCATCTTTAATATAATAATGATCTTAATTTAAAATTATTGCATTACACTACGTCTTTTCCTTTGAATTTGATAATCAATTTCTATCAATATAATTTCTATCAATATAATTTAATATTATTATCTCAGTTTAATTTACTCTTTTTCTTTTTCTTATTAGAAATAGAAATGGATAAAAAATAAAAAAAAAAAAATTATACCGAAGTTAAATCTACATTAATAAAAATGGACATAAATCAGTTTTGTATATTTGACAGTCGGACAAAAGATACAATCCTTGTAACTCAACAATGAATTAGAAAGTCGTACTGATCACTGATTGTTGAATGAATATGTTACGAAATTTGATGTTAATGCTAATATATCTGTGATTTAAGATGAGCAACAAAATTTCGTAAAGAACATACATCCGGCGATCTCCGCCGAAAATCTTAACGAGCGTTACGACCTAAATGTTTTTCTTCTCTCTGATTCTCTCCAAGGCTCCAGCCGAAACTTTCCGATTTCACCACGAGAGTTTTGCGCAGCGAAATCCATGTTCGAGAGCGGGATGATTCGACGATTATGTAAATTAATCGCCGCTAAATTTAAAATCGTTAATCTTATTTCGCTGGAGGCTTTATTATAATCGCATCGCTAAATCGTCGGAACTATTATCATTACGAACGTCGCAATAGTAATTTATATCACCAATCCTGTGCACAAAATCTATTGGATCGGTTATTCGCAAAAAATAAATGAGGTTTATGTTAGGATGTTGTAATTATGATTCCAATGAAAATGTAATTCTTGTAATTCTTATCGTTTTCTTGAGGAAGAGATAAATTCTATAATCTCGGTGTCGCGCATGTGTGCTCGCTATAATAAAAACCGAATGGTCTATTACTCGTGCAATTTTCCACGCGTTTTCCGGAGAATCGCGTGCGCGATTCGCTGCGTGACATTCCCTTCGTGTCGAGTCGCATCAGCGAATAGAAGCGAGCCTAAAGACGACAGGAAGTTTCAACATCGCGCTGCGTTCAGCTGTATTCCCAATATTTTATGCTGCTCGTGTCCATCATGGCACATTAAAATCTCATGCACGAAAGGCACACCGGATTCTTGCATAACTGTGCGTGTCTGTATGACGATTATGGCTTTCGTGGTTTCGCCCGGAGTTTCACCGTTCTTACGACCGGTTTTGCTAATTCCTCGATATCGACGAACATTTATTACCTCTTCATTTACTATGTGAATAAACCATAGAATTCTCGCTTCTGTTAAGCTCTTCCGTGATAAATTTTGCACTCATTGTGTGCGTAGTATCAATGATATTTTCATTATGCATTGTTTTATATTTACATTATTAATTGTTATCTATAATTAATTATAACAGAGACCTACACTATTAGAAATCACACTGAGAAAAAAATATAGTTAATTTTAATAAATATTTAGTTCAATACTGCTAACTAAACATTTACTTACAATAAGTAAATATTTGTTCAGTAAAAAAAAAATGATTGTTAAATCAAATTAACATTTCTTGTATCAAATAAATATATCTTTATATTTAATAAATATTTAGTAGGCAGTATTCAATTAAATATTTATTAAAATTGATTATATTTTTTTTCAGTGCACGAGCTTCCTTTACATATAAATGAATTAAATTAAAAGTAATAAATGATTTAACTGAAAATTAAGTTACAGTAGTTTCTTAAATGAAATAAATGTACATTAAATTTCATAAATTTTCATGAAAAATACATTAAATTTTATGTACATGTACACAAATATACTTTTTAGTTATAAATACATTAAATTTAATGTAATGAAATTAAATTCAAATTGTGTAATTTAAAAGTTAATAAAATTTAAGAACATTTCTAACAGTGTAGAATGGAGAATAGCGCAATCTCGCATAATTAAACATTACTTTGATTACGTCTGACGAGATGTTAGTAACGTCAAAAAACCGTTTGACTATTTTTTTTCGTACATAATATTAAATAATAAGTTACTCTATCAAATTCAACGAAGTAAAAAAATTCCAAATTTTACGAAATAGTTATTTTGTTTTGTATTTCATTGTATTTTTTTTTTTTCGTCTTTAAGATAATCGCTGACGCGATATGTTCTGACAATTATATTTCTGCGTTTTGTTGCAAAAAACTGTTCGTACATAAATTTTCCACTTTTATATAATACTTTTATGACACTTTTTTACGTCTTTGAAGGAGTGTTGGCATCAAAAATTCTATCATCTGACCTGCTGACTCTAGCATTTTTATTTTTAAATACAATCAAATTTCAAAAAACCAGCTTTTATAAAAATAATCATCATTTTTTTCACGCGGCCACCCAGACTATCTCGTTGCGTATCCGCTATCAAGAAAGCGTGCAGCGCAATTTTCGCTCGGAAGCATGTAAGATGAATTTCAACGAAAACAGGATGAAAAAAAGAACACGTCCGGAAACACGAAGGAAGTTGTGTAGCGAGTAAAGATGCTCGTGTGTCGTTTGCAAATTGCACTCACTTGGGGGAACGTCTTCTTCGGCACGCCTTTGTTACGCCCTTCTGGAACCTCACTGATTATGAGTCAGAGACGGAAAAAGAAAAGAATACCATATCCGTGTGTGTGCGAAAGTACGGACGGCGGAGAGGTAAATCTATAGTACTTAACCATCGCAAGAGAAAAAAAAACCGAATAAAAGTGACGTTGAATGTAAGCAAGTATAGGACTCATACGTTTTATGACGCGTTTGTCATAAAACGTGACTCATGCTGGATTTTCCGTTCAGACCGTTTGATATTTAGGCGATAAAAAGAAATATATAATTATAAAATAAAAAATATATGTAATTATTAAAAAATATATAATTATAAAATAAAAAATATATGTAATTATTAAAAAATTTCTGATATATATATATATATATAAAATAACAGATCCTCAAATATCATAAATTGCTTTAAATAAATTTAAGTAATGAATTAAAAAACTCGTCTTATCTTATATTCTTTTGCGGAAGCAATCATTGACACGTCGCGGTACTTCCATTACGGATAATGGATAAGATACGTTAAGAGTATAAGGAAGAGAACGATGGTATACTCAACATGATTGTCTGCAAAGTTTAGCGAGTTAAGTTCATAACTCTCTCATCATTGTCTTTCTACGGGCTGATAACGATAATTCACCAATGATTATTATTGTTCGAGAGAGAGACATGCAAGCCTCCTAATTTACTCACGTCATGCTTCCCGCGTTCGTTGAGATGGTTCTAATGAATTTTTCGAAGCAATAATTCACTCTGCAGCGGTCTTATTAAATGCGATGAATGTGCATCGCCCGCTGATAATTTGGTCGATTATTAACAAAACGTTAGTTTGTCGAGCATAAATGGAATATAATATAAGAAATATAAATTAGACATGTGTTTCGATACATATCCTGCGATTTTCAATGTAGCAACGATGTACGAGCCATCGTTCTCTCGTTAATATCTTATTTCATTACGTGTTTAATTTTCATCGCTCAAAAATACATGGTCTGACTCTGTAATTTGACCCATTGCAATAGCTACGTCATACATTTAATTGAAGTTCTCGTTGCTGATCATAATGCGATCACACAGAGTTGATGAACGCGGAGTTGTACATCCAGCAGCCGCCGTATGATTTCACGCTACAGGAGTAATGCTTACATGATCTGGTGTATCATTTTTATTGCTTAATTAGTCACAGGCCAATGACCAGAAACGAATTTTCAATTCTCAAAAAAATGACATAATAATTGCATTATATATAGTATTTCATCAAGAAATTCAAGAAATCTTGTCTTGGTTTATTGTCAAGAAATTTTGCCTTGAATCAAGACAAGACCAAAACAAGAAATTGGAAATTGATTTCAAGACAAGAAATTGTTATCAAGATCAAGATTTCTTGACAATAAATCAAGAAATTTTTTCAAATTTCTTGAATTTTCATAACAGTTTTCATTTTTGATACTTTATTATTTTAATATTTTATTATTTTATTTCTAATTTGAAAAGTTTTGAATAAATTAGGTTTCAACATTTTCAATTGTATTTATTGCTATTTATATATTGCTATTTATTGCTATTTATATAGAA